GGGTAAAATATGGACACGACTACGTTCTGGTTATATCCTAGGTATGTCTATTGGTATTTTTGCGACTACGTTCTGGTTATATCCTAGGTATGTCTATTGGTATTTTTGCGACTACGTTCTGGTTATATCCTAGGTATGTCTATTGGTATTTTTGCGACTACGTTCTGGTTATATCCTAGGTATGTCTATTGGTATTTTTGCGACTACGTTCTGGTTATATCCTAGGTATGTCTATTGGTATTTTTGCGACTACGTTCTGGTTATATCCTAGGTATGTCTATTGGTATTTTTGCGACTACGTTCTGGTTATATCCTAGGTATGTCTATTGGTATTTTTGCGACTACGTTCTGGTTATATCCTAGGTATGTCTATTGGTATTTTCGATTATTCGTTTAAAGGGAAACTCTAATTTCAAACCCAAATTTGAATACGTTATATCAAAACGACTGTAGAGGGAGCCTCACCACGTCGTCACAGTTCACGTCCAGTCATGCTCTATCTGACGACAACATACACACAACGAAGGGAGGGAAGGTTCGAACCATTCTCTTTGCTCTAAACTTACAATTTGGGTAAAATATACACATACATATATATATATATATATATACTGGGAAAAGTCATATTTGTTTATTTGTTTGTAATTAAGCACAAAGTTACACGTTGGACTATCTGTACTCTATTTCAATCGACAGATGAGTTTACTCAACAGATGCAGCTAACCAAACCAAGTGTATTTAATGTTTATTACAAATAAGGAAGTTCTGTATAATATTCTAATTGTTATACATGCCCTGTGGATACTGAAAGTTAGAGATTTATATAATTGTGAAGTCCATAAGTAATCACATGAACTTTTACAAACTTCGGTCCCCGTACACATTGTATTGTAATTAAATACAAAGCTACACAATGGGCTATCTGTGCTTTGCCCACCACGGGTATCGAAACCCGGTTTCTAGCGTTGTAAGTCCGTGGACATATCGCTGTGTCACTGGGGAGGGGGGGGCATGTCATATTTAAGTAGCTAATGACTTATCCCTAATCTGAACTACTTTAAAACAATAAGAAACACACATTTTTGTTATCCACTCAGCAACCATTAAAATATGCAGCCCCCCCCCCCAATGGCACAGCGGTATGTCTGCGGACTTACAACGCTAGAATCCGGGTTTCGATACCCGTGGTGGGCAGAGCACAGATAGCCCTTATGTAGCTTTGTGCATAATTAAAAACAAACAAACAAAATATGCAGGGAAGGTACTTACAGCTTTGTTTCAACCTTTCAACAGTTGACCCACCCTTAGGATTGGTGTAGCAAAACATTTTTCTTGTGATATATGTTGTTTCTATATATCTAAACTATATTAAATATATATAATGAAATAAATAAATTTAAGTAAATTTATATATAATTTTAAAAATAAAGCAAAAAGAAAAACATTTCTTATTGTATTATATAATAACTTTTAAAACTATATTTATTTTAGTCTGTAATATAAATATTGTGTTACTTTCTGGTCAAGTGGTCAATATCATTTAGGCATTGGTGAATTAAAAGTGAAAAAAAAACCTCCTTAAAAATTTTTGGTTGGACACCTAGACGACCGTACATCTTGATAATAGATCAACAACAAAGGTTCCATTGAAAAAAGATACGTGATAAGGTTGTCATGTCCAAACCACACTACTCCTCCCTGGAGCTTTCTACCAGTCACTTAGTGTACGAGGATGACGTTTCCCAGAGCCTGTTTCAACAATCAAATCACACAAAAGTCCATAGGTGCTGCATCCAGCGACTTGACCGATATGTCATAGTATGGAATAGCACAAATAACCGTTTCATTCTCCAGCTACTTGAGGTATGTCAACTTATGTGTATTAGCACAAAGAACCGTTTCATTCTTCAGCTGCTTGAGGTATGTCAACTTGTGTGGATTAGCACAAAGAACCGTTCCATTCTCCAGCTGCTTGAGGTATGTCAACTTGTGTGTACATAACGAGCGTCGTTTTTACAGACAGGTATCATTCTTGCTTATGTTGCCTGGGAGACGTGGAAGACTTTTGTCACTGATCCGTGTGTTTCTGGATTCTCACCTGCTTACCAGGCTGGGGTACAGGTTGTTGCAAGTTTCTTCCTGGATGGTCGTGGTGCTCCAAGTTGATCCATATTTCTTTCTTTTCCATTTCCATCAACTATCAGGGATATCCTTGTTTTGGAAATTCAAAATCCCCGATCTAAACACATCTTTATGATCTGAGAGTATGAATACATTGCTGTTACACATTCTACTCAAAAGCGATCAATTTTCGCGGTGGCATCCCACTACCTACAAATGCTAAAGAGTGTCAAAGTGTAGTTCTGATACATTCTGTGCCACTGCGACTTTATATCAGCCGTGATTTGTCGATTTTCATAAATAAAATCGTTTTAATATAACGTACGATATGAACATGTAATTATTATTAAATGTAATAACTGCTCTTTAAACCCATAGTTTTTAATAGCACGTAATACAATAGTTTATTGTGTATTTTTGTTGAACTAATAAATAATATTACACCTATTTGCCAGACCGCCATTTTTAAGTAGCACTCGGAGCTTAATGTCTCCGCCTCCCCCTCCTCCCTCTGGTTATTGAGTTCAGTATCCTTTTAATTTAATTCATTTGCTTTATTTTATAATAAAACTAATATTATTAAATATTTAAATTCGATTTCGATGACCAGGAGCCCACTTTGAGACTAATAATGCTTGGAGACGGCTTGAATGGATAATGAAGAAAAACTTTAACATAACAGCAAATGTACAACGTTTTGTCACATAAAACATGTATTTATTTGTATTGTTTCTGTCACAGCATAGCCTTAGGGGAGAGGCCAAGAGTGGAAATGTTTGTTGAAGCTGAGCCCCGGGCTGCTCTGGCTGAAACTAAGTTCCAGTAACACTGATCCCTATCAAATGTTATGTCGCCACAGTTGCAGTGACTTGACGAACTACACTTTTTTTGTTTTTTAAACTTAATTGATATAATGTATTTGTTTTATTTAAAAACATTTAGGTTTCAAGGCATACGATACGTGCAGTAATGCACGCAGCGCCCTCAAGCGAGTGATTCAAAGTCTTGTGGACGGAAGCTACTTGCAGGACACAAACTGTCAGAAAGGTTCACCTATCATTGGTAAGCGAGTTATCACAAACTCATAAATGTTGTTCAGTTTTTTATCTTTATTAGTCGCATTGAATAAATGAAACTCAAAATGTTATCCCTCTTCAAGATAAATAAAGCGTTCATGAATAACAGCCACCTGTCGTGTTAGGTTTACAATTTGTTTTGTTTTTCACCAATACACTTTTTTTATTGCTGTATAGCTGGTAAAACACCCATTCTAGACTTGCAAGGGTGCCCCCAGAAAAAAATAAATGGGGGGGGGTCAAGTAACTCAAGTTTGAAAAAATTATGAAATCGAAATACAAATGCCTCATGATTTTCCAGTAACATAGAAGATTAATTTCATATATATATCTAGTACTATTTTTTTCTTTTTGAAAATCCTGGGGGGTCACGTGACCTCCCCTTTCCCCTTCCTGCGGGCGCCCATGTCTTGTCCATTTAGTGATTATAATCTGAAACCACTCTTCGCTTGTGTAAACGATAAATGTCGTTCAAATGATAACATCCTCTTTAACGTGCTTTGTTGACTAATATGACAGGATGAAGTTTCTTCTTCAGTGTCCATCCTCACAATGACGTTAAACGATGAAGAGACATTGGTATGTTTTACGGTAGCGTTAGCAACAATAAGTCACGTGAACACAAACCGATATTGACACGCTGTTGTTTTTAACAGGTCTTCTCCCTTTCATTGGCGCGTTTTGATAAAGAAAGGAAGCACGTGACGAAACTGTCATATGAATGACTAATCTGAAGTACGTTTAGCAGGAATGTTCGTTTCGAAGATTATTCTGTATGATTTTATATATATATATATAATTTACCAAAAAGCAACAATGGGCGATCTCCGGGAAACCGTATGAAATTGATATTAAAAATTACAAAAAAATAATAATTCCAAACTAATTCAAATGAGCCACTTATTTCTAACTCTTACATCCCATGAATACAAGTTGTGATGCAAATTAAAAAGGGTTCGTTATTTTCATCCGTGTTCGGAAGCGAGATGATTGTGAATTTTATGACATTACTTGTTCCAGTAATCATCTCTCAGCGTCGTTAATAACGCCATTTCAGCAGTAGATATATCCGGCCGAAGTGTTTCGAACTGCTAGTCAGTCGGTATTTTGTGTTAACGTCCAACACCTTCTTCCGACAACACACGGGTATTTGAACAGAATTGTTGCTATTAGCGGAAATACTAGGTTACTGTTTAGATCATGCGTGTGTGGTATATCTCTACACAGACGTCTGTGTGTAATAAAACGAAGCCCATTTATATATCTCATTATTAAATATTCTAATACACCACAATAATAGCTAAGAAATAATAAAAAAGTACCCTTGCAAAGTCAGGTTTATATGCTCATACATCATAATAATATTTACTGTATATATATACTGTTGTAAATTCGCGTCTATCTTCTACACCAAAACAATATTTAATAAACACTAGTAAGCTGAAGTTATCTGTTTACAGATCATAGTAATATTCAATAAATAGTCTTGTAAACTGAGGTTTATCTAGTTGTGATTTTGAAACAAATCAAGTCTTATCCGAACGATCGAATTTGTTTCTCCATGGTAATAACAACTTCTGAGAAAGCCTCTGTAGCTCCGTTTACAACATAGTGAACCTACTGTTGATCACACGTTCATCAAAGTGTAGATTGATCTGGACCTCCCTTGAACTTAGACTTCGAGATTAAACAATTTTCGGAATACTAAGTTTATTTATTATAACTTTTAATCTCGTTGCCAAGATGTCAGTGTAAAGTTGTTAAATTAACCCTTTGACAGAGACAAGTACTGTGTCGTTTTCACATAGGACCTCTTTCATGACTGATCTCAATTTTTTTAAATGAGTTGAAATTTTAATCTTATATATATTGGTTCAAAAAAATTAGTACCGTAATGGATAAGTAACCATAAAAAAATACAAATAGAAAACAATAACTATACGCAATAATTATCCATATGTTAAACCTAACATAGAGTAATTATGTAATTTAAATATCTTGGTACTGATTTTTTTAAAAGATATTAATAATATATTTTTCAGGTTTTTTTGGTCCCTCATCGGCGACTATTGCTTCTACTGTATCTGCCTTTGTCAAGAGATTTAATTTTACTCACTTGCCCCTACATCTGGATTTTTTAGACAACGAAATTAAGGTACACAGATCAATCTGGAATTCTAGACATTTTACATCTATAGCCTAACGTTAGGGTTAAAACTATTAAAAATAGTGTAAAAATGCGTGTGGTAACTGACAAATATTTGCATAATTTGTTTATAAAAAACGAAAGAAAAAAAAGCAAGGTAATACATGTAAAGTGATCAGATGTTTTAGTCGTTTTGATATTTAATTGTGTGACTCCTTATATATAAATTATTATAATATATAGGTATTAATACTTCAAGTCTGAATTACCATTATATAGTCGTGCAGAGAATATTAATTATATGTTAACCTGTTCAATTTTTGAATACCTTATAAACAATTGTTGCCTCTCATTTTTTGTTAGGTTTCCATAGCAGTACTACTTCAGTTAAACTGGCGTCAGGTGGCGCTATTGAGCAGCAGTTATATTGTTTCAGAAAAATTCCACCAAGCGTCTTCGTCGGCCAACATCTGTGTGAGTGTATCGGAGGAACTGTTTTCCGACAGGTATTAATTCACACGAACTTTATACGTTATATTCGGAATCACGATTATCTTTTTGTTGTTATTTATTGGTACACATTTTACCTTCAATCCTTCAGTTCACAGAACTTGCAAAAAGAAGTCTCTATATCACGATTTAATTAATACATTTGAAATATTTATCGCTTGCCTACAAATCGTATCAACGTTTCTTTCTTGACATATTATCTCAGTAACTTTCCTTCGCCCCCCCCCCCAGTGGCACAGCGGCACGTCCGCGGACTTACAACGCTAAAAATCTGGTTTCGATACCCGTGGTGGGCAGAGTACAGATAGCCCATTGTGTAGTTTTGTGCTTAACTTACAAACAAACTTATCTTCATTTAATTGTTTGTATATATATATATATATATGCGTGTTTTAACATCACGTGATTCAAAAGGATATCTTTATTCTAAATCACAATGTTTTGGTTCGTTGATATTTCACTTATCGTTATTTTTAACATGAAAATCAACCATCGAATATCAAAGCAATTAAAAAAAAGGGAGTTAATTTCAGTTTGCACAAGTAGCGCATCTTATTGTTAGTTGTGCATTGTTTTTTGCAGACTTCTTCCCCAGCAGTGTCAAGACCTCTATGAAGAGATTCGTCAGTCTGGAACACGAGTTATTGTAGTTTTGGGCTACGATTTTGAAGTTGTCAAGACGTTACAGTACGCTGAGAATTGTAACAGTTCAAATTTTTATTGGTTAACGGTGGGTCTGAATGACGCTGACTCTATATCGGACTTCCAAATGAAAATAATCAGCATTACGGCTTCTCAAGAACGGTTTCCTGACCTGGAAGACAGAGTATATCTTGAGATTGATGGGAACGCGTCCGACGAGTGGTCTTCGCACGACAATAACTCAGGCTTACACAACTGTTTTAATACTGGGTTCTTGGCTCAGGTCTCTTCAGACGCCCCCTGTCGCAAGTACGAAGCACTAGGAATATCCGAAACCGTTCGAACTGTCGTGAGTTATGGGGTTCATTTAAAACAGTTAGTTAACTCGAGTTGTCATCAGGCCAAGAAAGGCTGCGTTAAGAACACTGTTAATTGTGAACAGGCCAAGAAAGGCTGTGTTGAGAAAATTGTTGCTCTTCTGTCCCAGCAAAATATCAAAGCTCTACAAACCGAAATCACCAATACACTTCGTGAAACTAAGTTAGAAGAAGAAGAATTTATTCGATATGACATCTTATCTTCAGAAACATCATCTTCGGAAGATGGGTCAAAGTTTACGAAGGTAAAAAAAAAAATGTATAAATATTTATGGCTAGTGTTTCAAGTTGTTCGTGAAATGTGTCAATGAATGTGATAAAAATGTAATTTTTTTTTTAATTCGTCATTAAAGAAAAACAGGAAATACGTTTCTACAATCATTCCTTTCAGTTCTGTAAGTTACGGAGTGTGGCTGTTATTATTAACTTATGAATTAAAATTATAAAGTATCAGTGATATGTTTCTCCACATACAGGGTTGTTACGGTGAACTTATGATTTGTTACGTTTCTCCACATACAGGATTGTTACGGTGAACTTATGATTTGTTACGTTTCTCTACATATCAGGATTGTTACGGTGAACTTATGATCTGTTACGTTTCTCCACGGATTGTTATGGTGAGCTTATGAGTTGTTACGTTTCTCCACATACAGGATTGTTACGTAAGATTTAAGATAATATTGTAACGTGTTCTATCGTTGGGCTGGTACAATCAGTAAAAGTAACATTAACAAATTAACTTCTACACACGCTGATAGGCCTAAGCCTAACTCATAAACATGTTTAACCAAAATGTCTTTGCTAATCAGTCGATTACAAACATGCAGTTTTAGGCCCGTGTCTATGATACAAAATGTGACAGTTAAAGTTACGTAACCTTGACGCCGAAACTAAAAAATCAATAAAACAACAACAAGCGGTTAGTTTCACATAAGTATTCGAAGCCTTCTTTTGCAGAAACTTTTTCCAATAGATGCCGAAAAAACATTACATTTATGAGAAACTTTAGAAACAATAACCTTATTATAACCTGAAATTTAATAAATGAGCGAATAATATAAGTCTTATGCCCGGAAATGTCCAGGAGAGTTTGATATTGTTATGAGTTTCTGGGTCTGATATTGTTATGAGTTTCTGAGTCTGATATTGTTATGAGTTTCTGAGTCTGAAATTGTTATGAGTTTCTGAGTTTGATATTGTTATGAGTTTCTGAGTTTGATATTGTTATGAGTTTCTGAGTTTCTGAGTTTGATATTGTTATGAGTTTCTGAGTCTGATATTGTTATGAGTTTCTGAGTCTGATATTGTTATGAGTTTCTGAGTCTGATATTGTATGAGTTTCTGAGTCTGATATTGTTATGAGTTTCTGACTTAACCTTTCATATTCAACTAAAGATATTCCCTCATCTATAACAAACACTGGTTGTTATATGTTTACAGGTAATTATTAATTGAACCAAAGAGTCGTGAAGGCTATAAAAGTCAGTAAGTGATCGTGTCAGCTGCACACCACGCATGAAACAGAGCCCTAGAGGTCGATTCATTCAACGTGTCAAATACATTGACAGTTCTTTAGCTCCTTATAATGTTTGGTTATTCGTGTTCAATTCGGATAACTTATCCAATACTCGTCTGTTTACAAATGTTTTAATTCTATTGTATAATTCTAAAAGTTTGTTAAACTTGCTGCGGAGGTGATGTGAATGGCGACATAACAACATATTACTGATTATAATAATATACTTTTAATTATTGCAGGTAGGAGAATTTTTTAACGACAAGCTACAGCTGAATCCAGAGAAACTCGGGATTTTCCACCAGGTGGAGAAAGGATGGTATAAAATTCCTAATTATCAGTGCGATGGAGCTGGCTGCCGTTGTTTAAACAGGAACGTGACGGAAGATTACACGAGCTTTTGGAACCAATGGCGATCTGAAACGTGGATAACTATTTTTGTTACCATTTCTTGCATGGGCAGTCTGATAGCACTGGCAGTAATCAGTTTCATCATTTGGCGAATTTGTCGAGGCGACACCATCGAGGGAAATCAGGGATTCGCAGTTCTGTCGCTAATCGGGATTATAATTAATTACATCGCCATCTTGCCTTTTGCTTTCCTTCCTACAGAGGCGCTGTGCACACTGCGTTTGTTGTCTGTCGGTCTGGCCTACACCCTTCTCTTCTCGCCATTATTGGTACGTTCGCTTATGTTGGCCACCACCGACACGGACGGCCTGCCCGGACATGTTAGTGGCTTAGTCCAGAGCGCCCTCTATTTCTTCTGTGTCGGAGTACAGGGAGCTTTGTCAGTGGAGTACTGGTGGTTGTCAAAAGTACAACATTTTCAACTGGTGGAAGAAAGTGGAGAATTCAGTAAAACGTGTATCCTTTCTCATGATCGGATTCTCATCTCTCTCGCGTATGCCATTCTACTTTTGGTATTTTGGATCTTCGTGTCGCCATTTTGTGTGCGTAACAGGAGAAACTACAGAGAAGGGCTATTCTTTCACATTGCCAGCCTGGCTTCTTTGGTTGTCTGGGCCGCGTGGATCACAGGATTTATTCTTCTGGCGGAAGATTTGAGAGAAAAGTTACTGTGCTTAGGCCTGATAGCGAACGCCACCGTTGTTCTGGTGGTTATTTTTATCCCACGGGTTTATAAGATGACGACGGCGATAGCCCTGGACACTGCAAACGTCAGCCTGAGGCCCGTGGGGCAGCTAACAGCCCCAAGTCTTACCGATATGACGGTAAGAAGTTCCAACGTTATGCTGTATGACACTGTCAATCACGCCTATGCCCCCGAGTCGGTAATGCACGCTGTGAAAGAAGAGCTGGAAGCATCTTCTTTTGATGAATACGACAGATGCTCAACACCATCAAAAGTTACGAGACTCTAATTATATGATGTTTATGGATGCTAATAAATAAATAACCATGGAAACTGGAGTGGCTAAGCCACGGTAATCGACAGTTATTTATATATTAAAAAGCGTTTATTAGTTTGGAAGAGGTTGAAACCGACTTCTATATTAAAAGAACACTACGTGACGCTTCTTACAGCTTTGATCAAACCATTCGAATTGTCCTTTTATAATTGTTTTTTGTGCGGTTCATTCTTGCAAAAGCGACACCTTTCAACAACTACTATACTTTCCAGAAGAATAAAAAAATTAAAATATAAACAATTTTTAGCGGCGTCTATAAAATTCGACAATGCGTTCAATTTTCAAAGTTTTTCATATAAGAATAAATATTTCAAAGAAATTTACTGAAACAACGAGAAATAATTCTCGTTTAACGTTGCTGGATTCCACGTGTGATTTTTGATGTTGTTTTCTTTTTTTTTAAATATAAATATTAGAGCTTGAATGAGTAGACAGGAGAACGTGTAATGAATTATTGTACGTCTTTAATTTGAATCGTAAACACTTGCTGAGCCACGTGTTCAAGTTATATGTTCTGAAGTTAACGTACGGGGAGTGTTGAAGTCAACAATGGGATCAGTTTTGTTATTTATAATACAGAGTGCTGTGGGTCAACGGTAAGTTTTACTGACTTACAATGCTTAAATCCGGGGCTCGATTCCTCGCAGTGAACAGAGCGTAGATAGCCCGTTGTTTAGCTTTTCGCTTAAAAAAAAATGTAATTTCCTAAACACTCACATTGAGTTTCAGTTTGTAAACTCTGTAAGGAGTATTTTTTCCAACCATTCAATTAAAAACTTGGCCAGTTTCTAAACATCCGTGGTGAGGATTGGGTTTTTCAACCATTCAATAAAAACTGGGCCATTTTCTAAACACTCACAGTGAGGAGTAGGTTCTGTTTTCAATCATTTAATAAAAAAACTTTCTAAACACAGACCGACTTGTAAATTGCCCGTGTTTAAACTTGTTGTCGGAGCTGAAGAGGAGTCAAAACAAAGAAATAATCGTATTGCATTTTCAGATCAGATCAGACAATGAGTCCAGGTGTAGTATACCATAATCCCATGCGTCACTGATTATAGTACATAAAATAAGACAGGGGAGAAAATTCATATCAGTTAATTTCATCCCTTAATTAAGATGGGTTCGCCCTGCCAGGGAGTGGACAGAGGACCAAAGTGATACAAGCTTGTAGCCATTTCCGTATGCATTCTTTACCTAAGTAAAAATAATTTTATCACATGTTTGAGTCTTTCGACATCCGGGTAACAAGAATGGCAATAAGTACACGTGCACGAAAAATTACACGAATATTTATGGAACAGTGAAATTAGTAGCTATTTTGGCTACAGGGTACCACGAGCTGTAGTGATAAAAACTTGTTATATTTTATTACACTCGGAGTGTTTTTTGTATAAAAAAAAAGTTTGGCTATACAAACTTAAATTTGGTGTCAATTAAATGGTCACAGACGGACTTGGCAACAGCAACGTATATTACCAAGATGATAAGTACTGTGACATGCCTCTGCTCCTTACTTGTTTTAAAACCTGCTTGGATACGCTGGATTGAAGCATTTGTTAGTGTACGTTATAGTTCAGTCTTTAGTTCACTAGTAATTACCAACACTACTTTCTGTGTTAAATGTTTTCAGTAACTATAAAATAGGCTTTTCATGGTTGTTCAAGGTCACGATAATCTGGACACATTTATTTAATAATTTCATGAAACTTTCTGATTTAAGCTACTAGAAGATGAAGCACCATATAATTAATTGTCATCCACTGCGGTGTTATTTAACATCGTACAGTGTTACCATGACAACTAATGTATATATCCTGTATTTTTTTTCTCCTTACGTGATTCGGGTTAATGAATGCACAGTGTTTCACATTGCAATGTCGTCTTTGCTTACGTGAGTATCGTTAAGACTACAGTGAATATATAATAAGGATGTAATTGTTTATTTATTAGTTGGTGCCAATCACGTGCACTTAATAATTATATATATAAATATATGTATAATGCATTCTAGAAATATTTATTATTCCTAGACGCGTGTATTAAACATTTTGGTCACCAGGTGTAACTGTTGTTCATATGTGATTGTCTCACTTAAATCTACGCCATAATGATAATATACAATATCTTTATTTTGTTTATTTTTTACTTTTTAAGTCAGAAAGTATATAATAACACTCTTTAAGGCACAAAAAGCGCGCGTTGTTGCTTTAGGCTTTATAGCATCGTTTTTGACACTTTCCACTCGTAAATACTAGGTTATTATAAAACATCTTACAAACTTTTGAGTAGAAATAGATCATGAGTAGGTGAATGGTTTCGTCTGATCTAAACGTTTTAAATAATTTCTATTAACTGAAACGCAGAACAAAACAGAAAATATTGACCAATAAACTACACAGGGGGAAAAAAGGCAACAATTCAATAAACGTGACCCATTTTTAAACTATATAAATGTTATATTTACAGACCGTAAATAACAATGTTAAAGTGGAGTACGTCAATCGAAAAAAAACAAAAACACATTAATGTTAGCTTTATTTTTAATGATTTTTTCACAAGTGACTGAAAAGTTAACAAGATTATTCAATTGAATTCAAAGCATTAAACTTCCGATTCTGCAAGAACTTTTATTTAAAAATAATAAATCCTGATACTCCATTAACTGTTTGAAAAACACTGGCTTCTATTAGTGTTAGATGCACACGCAAAAAATTAAAACTTGCCTTTTTAAACTATCTATATAAAAAATTATTAATTTGAACAAATAAAGGAAAATAGCACCTTATTTTGCCAAAAAATTAAATATTAAGCAGTGACATATTTCTTTATATACATGTACATTCTCTAAGCTGCAAGACTACCTTTCTGGCCTATTCATCTTGTAACACTCCCAAATAATATTAAGCAGTGACATATTTCTTTATATACATGTACATTCTCTAAGCTGCAAGACTACCTTTCTGGCCTATTCATCTTGTAACAGTCCAAAATAACATTAAGCAGTGACATGTTTCTTTATATACATGTACATTCTCTAAGCTGCAAGACTACCTTTCTGGCCTATTCATCTTGTAACAGTCCAAAATAACAT